GGCAAATGCACCGTATCCGCAGGTGCAACACGGGTGCAGTTTAAGGGACGGGACAGAGGCCAAAGGTTTCTCCTCGCGAGCGAAGTCTTACCCATCAGATGCCATCTCGCGTGTCTCCAACTGGCTCGCCGTCGCCGTCGCCGTCGCCGTCGTCGCCGTCGTCGTCGTCGTCGTCGTCGTCGTCGTCGCCGTCGCTGTCGCCGTTGTCGTTATTTCCTCCGGCCTTTTCGTCGCCGTCGTCTCTCTCCTCGTTACCGTCGTCGTCGTTGCAACGCACGACGAGTGCAACGCGATGCGGTGCGCGACCGCGCTCCGCTCTTCCACTCCACTCCAGTCTTTAACCGCCCGCCACCACCGCCGCCGCTAACCTCGGCGCGTCACCCTCGCCGGCGACCACCACTCGCTTGACACTTCTCACTAAGCCGAACGATGACACTCGGATGTCGCAACGTCCCATTTCCGCGAGCGCGAACAGCGACGCGGCCCCTTCACGGCAGCCCCGCGGCGGCCATCTTTTTTCTTCTGTTTAGTTCGTGGTTTTAGCGTTTCACCGCGCCGCCACGCCGCCAGCACTCCCTGCGGGTAGTGACAAAAATTCACTCTCGCACGCGCGTATCTCGCATGTTCCTTCTTCGTCTCCAACCCCCTATCCTTGCAATACGATCTTGCGTGGATAACTGCGCCGTGATCTCGCTCTCGTTTGATCGATTAGTTGTAATTGCGAATTGTCACGTTGCCGATCGTAGAAACTGTAGAAAGCGATTTGAACATAATAATTTCTGAGCTATTATTGTTATTATAATCTCGTGTATAATTCAATGATGATATAGAAATAATTATATATATGTCAAAGTGATAAAATTTTAAAACAATATAATTATTCTGAATACTATTTAGTTCCAGAATTAACGTTACACTACGCGATTTTTCTCTACAATTATTATGTATGATATACATTTTTAAAGATTATCTTTAAATAGGGGACGATCAAAAATACAATGTTAGGAAACAGATTAAACCAAGAAAAGAATTATAATACAATTAATACATTTAAATATCATTTTTTTCTTTCTACAAATATATCATATATTGAGTATGAATCGTTATTAAGCTTCGATTTCACCCAAGTAAATTTGCTTGTCACTAGATCCCGAACACACTGAAATAAATATAACATTAATTAATAAAATAAATTTAAAAATCTATAAAGTTTGCATTCATTATATTTATATATAAAAAAAAATATTCATTTTATTACGAATTATTTCATACCTATAGGTTCCTTTGGATGAAAATCAATGTCATTGACAGATCCGTTGTGTCCCGGTAATTTGTATAATATTCTACGACTTGTAGTATCCCAAATATAATGAAAACGATCCGAAGATCCCGCCGATACCTTGCTACCATCCGGTGACCACGCACATCTTAAAAGATTCTGAAAAAAAAATTACAAAAAAATATAAAATTATGTAATATTTATAACATGAATATTTTATTTCTCAAAATTTTCCTTATTAAAATAAACCCCATAAGATTCAATTTCAATTCTCATTTTATGTACACCTCGATTTGTTTTCAAAAATTCATATTTCATAAATTCTGGTTAAAAATAAGATAAGACGAAAAAACACCTTCTCAAAATTATGTTGATGTCCAGACAGTATTTTCACACAGCGTTCGTAAGGAGCAAATGGTCTTACATCCCATATCTTCAATGTATTATCCATAGCATTGGAAAGTATATAAGAACCATCAGGACTAAGACTCAATCCAGTAATGGTATCAGTGTGTCCTTTCAGTTTGTAAAGTATTGCATTCTTTCGGAGATCCCATACCTTTATGTCGTTATCAATACCACCGCTAATCACTTGTTCGGATGTATCATTGAATGTCACTGCAGTAACCTAACAATAGAAATTTGTGTTCGAGAGATAAGATACAAAGTTCGAGAGATAAAAAATACAACTGAACCAAAAATTTGTTGGAGGAATACATACATTAAAAAGAAACTACTATATATATGCACAAATATATGTTTCTCTTTAATGCTATGTGTTTGCAGTTTTATAATTAAGCTTCTGTGATATTTCTGATAAGATATATTATCATTACTTGTATTTTTTTTATATTATTTATATTCAAGTACAATTAAATAATAGTACAATACCTGATATGTGTTATTCAATGTATAACATTGACCCCGTTTCCTAGGATCCCAAATACGTATCGTACTATCATCACTGCCTGAGCAGAGCAATGTAGGGCCCCTTCGTGCACCTGATACAGAATTTACAAAGGAAGTGTGACCCTTCAGTTTCTTAATTCGTGTCCCAGCTATTATATCCCACAAGCCCAGAGTCATATCTGTGCTGGCTGTATACAAGTGATTGCCATCTGGACTGAAATGTAATTCCATTATGGCACCACTGTGCCCAGTCATGAGTCCAATATTTTCACATTCTCCATACACATTCCAGATAACTGCAATTTCATTGAACAGAACGAATAAAACTTACATATATTAATTAAATTTTATATACAATACATACAGATTTGTCGATCAAATCCAGTTGATGCAAGATACTGTCCCTCTGGATGAAATTCTATGGAAAAGATATCTCCTTGATGTCCCTCAAGCAACATTATCATCGACATTAAAGAAGACGTGCGCGGTGGGCCCTTTAAAATTTTATTACATACATAAAATATTATATTTTCTAAAAAGAAAAACATAATATGAGGTTATATTTACGCTTTGCACAACCGCTTTCTCTCTGCTGCTGAAGACGACTTCATTTTTTGTTCTTTTCGAAGCAGGCACTAACGCCAAAATATCATCCCCTTTTCTTTTGTCCAAAATCGGCATATTAACAAAATATTAATTCAATTTTTAAGTGCAATCTCACAATGTGTCTATTTATTGTTTCACTGAGTTTTCTCGGGATCCAGATCCAACATCAAGCAAAAATTTCAAAGCTGTCACGCTTCCATTTTTGCAGGTACCTAGAGTCCCTATAGGGATAGACTTCCCTCTATCGACGAAAACTTTAAAAAGTATCAAAAAATCGAAGATAATTGAAGAATATCGATATTACCGACTATTGATATAAATTTTTAATCGTTATTTACATAAATAATTGAATCTACATTATTAAACTCATAATTTTTTATTATACAAATGTTTCTTAAGTAATTTATGATATTATAATGTTACGTATACGTACAATTTCTTTTTTTAAACTCCGAAATAAAAATTCGATCGACGTATCAGCTATCGAATCTCGCGCGAGGTAAATTCGTCCTTTTCTAAGATTAGAGGTTAGGATAGCTTTCCAAGCATCCGCAAGCATCCGATTGTCGCGCGTCCGCTCACAGGAATGCATCAGTGTCATCATTGTTAGTTATCGGCGTGGGAAGACTGATTGGAAATGCAAGGACAGGATCCGAGGCAAACCGGTAAAAATTCATGTAATGTGACAATAATTGGATCGTTATCGGGCGGGAATGGCGTGGCAGGTAGACGCGCCCGGCGATGATACGGCGGATTTTGCAGTCGTTAAATTGAGAGGCGTGAATCATGCACGGACGTGAAGATGAGCAGTACAAAACACAAAATATGGTTCGTATGATATCTCTTTCGTTCTCACGGTACCGCCTCTTGTTTATCGTTTATAACAATAAACATAACGTTATCTGTTTTACTGTAAATACATGTAACACACTTTGTGCAGCATGGTCTCGGATTTCTTTTATCCAAACATGGGTGGTGTCGAGGAGCACATTTTCAATCTGTCTCAATGCCTGCTGGAGCATGGCCACAAGGTGGTGATACTTACTCATTCCTATGGGGACAGAGTAGGAATAAGATACATGACAAATGGTCTCAAAGTATGCTTCATTCTCTATTCCACTAATCAGCATCAGATATAGCTTCCAAGCTGATTTCAGCTCCGACATCCTACTGAATTTATCACTTGTGTATTGACTGAATCGAATCACAATCTTCTCAATTGTTATTGTTATATTTTTCTCTGGTTATATCACATCTATAATCATATCTGCTCCTACAAAGCAGATCAAATTATTCTATTAGAAAGATAAGACAAAAAAAAAGACAGTAAGACTCAATGTTAAAATTTAGCTGGAACTTATATCTGATTCCTATTCTATTCAATCTGAAGTTTAGATTCTAAATGATTTCTTCAAGTTCTCTTATTCTTTTTGCTAATGTTCTCATTTTATTTAAGGTATATTATATCCCCGTAAAAGTTTTCTACAATCAATGCGTTCTTCCAACGATGATATGTTCTCTTCCACTTATTAGATATATCTTCATTAGAGAAGATATACAGATTATACATGGCCATTCTGCGTTTTCGGCACTAGCCCACGAGGGAATGTTAATTGGTAGATTAATGGGATTAAAAGTAAGCTACTATTATGTTAACAATAGAACTTGAACAAGATGACTAAACGCTATACTTGTAGACGGTTTTTACGGATCACTCGCTTTTCGGTTTCGCGGATGCGTCTGCCATTCTGACGAACAAATTTCTCGAAATATCGCTGGTAGATTGCAACCATTGTATATGTGTATCTCACACTGGGAAGGAGAATACAGTATTGCGAGCCAAAGTATCAAAGGAAAAGGTATCAGTTATCCCGAACGCCGTTGATACCACGTTATTTACTCCCGATGTCGGTAAACGAAACAACGATTTTAGTAAGTTCAAAAGTTTCCCTCCAGTTATATTAGAAAACATACAAATTATCTCAATTACTACAATGTTACCATAAATTTCAGTTACCATAGTAATAGTATCACGATTGGTATACAGGAAGGGTGTCGACCTCTTAGCTCATATAATACCCGAGATTTGTCTGCGCCATAAGAACGTACAATTCTTAATCGGCGGGGACGGTCCGAAGAGATGGCTTATAGAAGAAGTACGAGAGAGAAATTTGTTACAGCACAGAGTTACTCTATTGGGCAGTCTAGAACACTCTCAAGTCAGACATGTTCTGAATAAGGGTCACATCTTCCTGAATACAAGCCTAACAGAGGCTTATTGTATGAGTATTGTAGAAGCAGCTTCTTGCGGGTTAGATCCTTATGCACTTCATTCTTTCATCTCGTCATATTTATGACACCTGAAATTGATAATTTGAGTCTTAAGCTTAGTTTTTTTTATAATTTTTTTTTTATAAATTAATATTTATATGATATATATTTTTTATAAATTAATATATTCATATTTTTTTATCTTTTTAATGAGATTTTTGAATAACACAAACACGAATGTAATAATAAATATTACTTTATAGTCTGCAAGTAGTATCAACGAAAGTTGGAGGTATTCCGGAGGTTTTGCCGCCGGATCTGATTTACCTCGTGGAACCCACTGTACCTGCGTTAATTGAAGGACTGGAAACGGCTATAGCGGATTATAAGAAGGGCAATGTCAAATGCCCTTTCGAAATGAATAGGAGAATAGGCTTGTACTATAATTGGTTTAATATTACCAAACGTACGGAGATAGTATATAATTTAGTGAAACGTGAGACGAGAAGGAATTTGGGACAGCAATTAGCTAGTCAAATAAAAAGCGGTGTATTGGCCTACTTGCTTGTGGTGTCGTTGTGTTATATAATACTACAATTTCTGGAATTCTTCGTCCCTAGAAAGGTAATCGTGATCGCCTAACTTGCAATGCATGCATTTTACTGATTCTAATTTATTTTTGTTTATATTTATATATTTGCTTTATATTTGGTTTTTGCTTCGTCCGTGAATTCTCATTCCTATTTTTTTCTTTATTGATTTATACACTTAATTTATGCACTTAAATTTTACTTTTCAAAATTATCCAGGTATATGCATCTAAAGCGATATATCTAAGAGACTCTTCATGTTTAAATAAGTAAATTTATTTGTTTATAAAGATAAATAAATAAATTTTCAGTATATCGATATTGCGCGAGATTACAGCGATATTCATGTTATGCCATCCAACGGGAAAGGAAAAGAAGATTATCAATCGTTACAGAAATCTGGAATGTAAGTTTCTCAATGTGTTCAAGTATTTTATTCTATTCTATACTTTGGAAACATTCCAGAAAAATCGTTCTCTGCAAAAGTTGTTATACAGGTAATTATAGTATATCTCCGCGTAAGAACAATCGTCGTTGCATTTATCGATAAATTTTTAAAGAAATATATATATATATATATATAATTATGCGAATTATATATATATATATATGTGTGTGTGTGTGTGTGTGTGTGTGTGTGTGTGTGTGTGTGTATGTATGTGTGTATATATATACACGTATAGATGTCATATACACAGATAAAAATGCGCAAAGTACAAATGTCATAATACTTGTACGTACGTGGAATTACAACTAAGAAAGACGACTGTATATAACAATTTTATTTATTATATCCTGTTTTTTCGTAATTTATATCATTTTAAAATAAACGACAGCGTATGGCATTTTAACATCGAAAATGCCGAATCGCCGATATATGAAACATCAGATTTATGAAAATAATATTAATTTGTTCCATTAAATGACTTTTATTATGATACATGACATTGTATGAATCAATGAATAACATGGATAACAATTCGTAACGATATTCAACCGCAACGCCGCTCACCCTACATACATTTAATATATACGCATAAGAAAGATATTTATTGCGTCATTAGCATTACAAAATATCGTCGTGTTTATTACGAATAGTCTGTGCTTACTTTTAAAACAATCGACGTTAATTTTCAAGCAGTTATTTGTAGCAATATGTGGAGTAGAAAGGTTAATTCGTATTCATGTAATCCACCATTCTAGTGCATTATCATATCGGTATCTTTTTTTTCTTTTGAATGTTTTTTTTTTATAAATATCAATAAAGTAATTTCATATTTCGAACTTGCGTTTCCATCACAAATATGTCACATTTCACTCAGCATCTGTTCGCATACAAAGCGTATAAAGTATAGAGTATATTAACTTACAAGAGAGATAAAAATGTACAGAAAACGGTCCTATACATTTATCTCTTAACAAAAAAATTTATATATATCATTTATATATATGAAAAAAAAATCATATATATATATATATATATATATGTGTGTGTGTGTGTGTGTGTGTGTGTGTATATATATGACTCTTTCAATATTAAAAAATCTAAATTTTAATATAAATTAATTTCTAAAACAATAAGAAAGCCAAATGGAAAATATAATAATATTTATTTATGTTGTACGTTAGATACAATAATAGAATATTGATATATCAATTATTTTTTTTCTTTTATTATATCGCTTTTTATCGGTTTATTTAATCATCACTATTATTCTGTACATTAATCTATTTATACATAAATCTTTTCATGTAAGGGTCTATGATCTTCTCCTATCTTCTTATATAAGAGAAGATCAGTGAACCTTAATTAACAACCATCATAATAATAATAATAATAATAATAATAATAATAATAATAATAATACGAGTGGTCAGATCTGTCACAACATTCCACGCTTATCCAAAGTCGCCTATCTGTGCCCAACGCATATTAGTCCAATCAGGAGAACAAAAATGAATGTTCTTAAAGTGCTAAAAAGAGTTATACGGATCTTCTACAACATTTACAGAATTACTTAAATAAAAACTTCACAAAAGAGATATCTTTTTTTCACTCTGCATGTATCGCATTTAAGTTTTCTGTGAAATTTTTGAGTGTTTTTGAATGTTTACAATCGACTATACAGAAGAAGGCTATGCCGACGACAATGAGATCCACACATGCAGTAATCAGTGCTAAGTCAAGATGTCACGCCGATATCATGTGTACTATCATGTGTGATACTTTGAGGAATTAGTGGGAAGGATTATGAATATTATTTTTAATCGCTATTGTTAGTACTAATGCGAAAATGAAAGTTTTTCTATCAGAGAATGCTATACTCAATCGCTAAGTTTATTTCATAAATCCTCGTAATATCAGGAAAGTATCATTTTAAATCACCATCTTTTCTCGTCATCATTCCAAAGTATGATATTAGTCTTTGCTCTGTTATTATAATGTGTGTCGCATCCTTTTGCATACAATTATTATGTATGTTTTACTTAGAGTATTACTGCAATATTATGACCAAGAAATATTAAAAGGTGAAAATTTTCTTGAAATGCATAATAAATCATTTGCGAGATCTGCTGCGACTATAATGTAAAGTAAATCTCTTTTTTTTTTCCCTCGACTATTGCGATGAAGCAAAAATCCATAGGATTCGATAAGGACAAACGCACCGTATATTCTGACGCACCGTATATTCAGTACTTGACGTAAAGACCATAATTTTCACGATACCAAGCACACGTTCTAACATTACTTCTTTTTCATTGAACACCTTTAACATACACATATTGCTATTGACTGCCACATTTCCGCATGCACAATTATTATCGGTCGGCATACTTTTCTCTCCTTTTATTCTCTTTTTTGTATATTTCAAGTGACGATGGCGAGAATGAAATGTTATAAAAGTTTCCAACCCTAATTGCCGCGTACATAGGAAAAAGAGTAAGTCCGTCTTCTTTCTTTCGAAATATCTTTCTTTGAGTAATATGTACAATGGAGTTTTTTTTTTTCGTGTAATTCATGTAAGAAAATAACGCCACGCTCAGTCAGTCTTAAACAAAGACTGCTATCGACAATCGATTCTGAAGGGATGAGCTTCTTTTTTCTCGTGTGTTAAGTTATAAAAAACCTTCATATATTTTTTTTAAGAAGAGTACCCGCGGTGGGTTTTCTCTGCACCGGTTTGGCATGTACAATAAATAAATAACGAACCGTATAATGAATCGAGCGTCGCATCATTTCCACGAGGTAAATTGGCGAAACAGTTCAGACGCCTTCACCGTAATCGCGATCACCTACATTAATACGATCAGGAGCAGCAGTTACGCTGAAGCCGAGAATCCTGTTGTCCACCTTGAACATCTTTCCTTTCTTTGGTTTCTTGGATTTTCCCTGAGCAAAAAAGGTTTGTTAACATTCAACATCTTATGAATTTCTCATATTTGATATTAATAATTTTCATATTTGCTACTAATTTAATACTATATAAAGTAAATAATAATGAATGAGATTTATAAACTGGTGAGAATATAATTTTAATAAATTAATCTTAAATAGTAAAAAAATATTTTATCGTTTTTTATTCCATCAAGATATCAATAAGGATATACCTTAACTTCTTGAAATTCTGTGGATGCGTTTGGATTAATAGCAGGTGCTGGCTTGCACAGATCGTCCGCTTGTGCCTGAGGTCGTTGCGCCGATCGCCACTTGCTTCGTTTTTCTAAGAATTGTTTGGCAAATTCTGTGCTCTGCTTGGTATCTCCAAGGTAAACGCGTACATATTCCTTAACTTCGTACGCCGATTCGATGTCTCGTAAGAATCCAACGAATGTAGGGACTGCAAGTGCATATGTATACATATAGATAGTCAAAGTTGAGAAGAAAACGTGATATACAAATACTTACTATCCACAGATGCTTGTATACCGCTCAATGCTTTATTACACCATTGCGTGAATTCGTCGGTCTTGGCAGTGTTCTGTTCAAACAATTTCTTCACTAGCTCCTCTTCTCTTTTATTCTTACTCTTAGACGTTTTATTATTACTATTCTGCTGCTGCTGTTGCTGCTGAGTAGGGGCAGGTTTCACGATCGTAGCTTGTTTAGCCGGCTGCTTCATAGTCGTAGACGTCTTGATGGGTGTAGGATCCCAAAAACCAGTAGTGCCAGAATTCGTAGACCATACCTGACTGCTAGATGTGCCCGAATTAGCCCAGCTCAAGCATTGTGATGCTGTGCCCCATATCCCAGCATTTTGCAGCATACTTGCAGCATCCTTTTGACCAGCCTTTTCTAATCGTTCTCTTTCCTGTTGCTAAGAAATTTCCATTTTTCATTCTCAAAACAATATTACGTGTCACTCGCATACTCAGGAAGCAACAAGTACCTTTACCTTAGCGATGCGCTCTTGCTCCTCTTGTTGAATCTGCGCGAGACTTTTCACCTGGAGTGGTTTACTGGAGGCAATAGCTTTCTCCGCCCATTTAAATTGCAATCGCTTTGAAGAATCGATTACTGATGCTTCCTGCGCCGCTTCTACCGCTTTCTGTTGCGCCAATTGTTGTTGCATCAATTGTTGAAGCCGTTGTTCTTCCTGTAAGAAAATCATAGCAATAGATATACGCGTCGTTTGCGTATAATAAATGTATGTAATACTTTACCGCTTTCTTTTCTCTCTCAAGTCTCTGGATCTCGGCAAGTGATGCAGTATGAGTAGCGGGAGCGAGTGCACGTGGAGCCTGGGCCCATGGAGATTTAGTTCTTTCTTGAAGTTTACGCAATGCCTCGGCTTCTCTTCGCCGTTGTTCCGCACGACGTGTCTGCTCTTCTATTTCAGCTTGTCGCCGTGCCTCCGCTTCTTTTCTGTAAATTTCATAATTGCACAATTTTTATTTTAAAATATTTAATCGTATTTTAGCGTTAGCTATGCACAATTTTACTGATATACCTGAGTCTCTCCTCTTCCTGTCTTCTTTGCTCTTCTTCTAATTTCTTTTTCTTCTCTTCTTCTTTCTTTTGTTTTTCTTCTAATTTCTTAAATTCTTCCCGCTTTCTCCTTTCCTCTTCCTGCTTCTTCTTTAAATTCTCTTCTTCCTGTTTTCTCTTTTCCTCACGTTTTTTTTCTTCTTCTTTACGTTTTTTCTCTTCTTTCTTCTTTTGTTCTTCTTCCTGCTTGCGTTTCTCTTCCTCTTTTCGTTTTTTCTCTTCTTCCTTTCTCTTTCTTTCCTCGTCTTTACGTTTTGCCTCCTCAGCCTGTCTAGCTTGCTCCTCTTTTTGCTTTCTCTTCGCGTTTTCTTCTTCTGCTTGACGCTGCAATTCTTCCTGCTTTCTTAACTCTTCCTTTTTCCTGTCTTCTTGTAACTTAAGATTCTGTTCTTCCTAAGAAGAAATAATCAAGCATTGATTATATCATTATTATTTATATTAATAAAACTATACATGAAAAATGACACAACAAAAATTAAAAATGCCGATTTACCAAAATCTGTTGTTCAGTTTTCATATCTTTAGCGTGTAAATCCCACAAAGAACCAGGTAATTGTCCTGGTGGCATCGCAGGAATGGGTCCGACCTAGAAAAATAAAAGAAAAGAAATATTAATAGAAATGATAGAATATCAATAGAAAAGATATTAAACAAATTTCACGTACTTTTGCACTTGACTGTTTTACAAGTATGATTTATGACAACATAACGAACCTGCGCTAACCAATTCTGCGCATTAAATTGAGGAACTATTTGCGGTGGAGGTTGCGGCCAAACGGTGTCCATGTGGGGCACTTGTGGATGGCCGTTAGTGTTGACATTGAGTTGACGTAGCAAAGATTTTATCGGATTGTCCTCTTGCGTCGGCGTGGGAGGCGGAGCGATATTTGGCTGTGGCATAGTAGGCAAGTTCTGCATGCCGCCCATCTGTTGGATGAGCTGCTGTATGGGATCTACTGTGACTGGATGGGCCGGTGCGGTCGTGTGTGGATTCGTTGGTAAATGAGTCTCAGGTTGCGTCTTTGCCTGTGCAATTCATTATTAGAATGCAAAATAAATATATATCATAGCATTAATATACCGAGACATTTACTTGCTGCATCTGAGTGAAAAGTTGCATAACGGGATTAGCCGCCTGAGACGTGAGATGAGGCACAAACGGATTTGTCGTTATCGGTACTTCCGGAATTTCCTGCATTCCGTCTTGTATGAGGTATTGTACAATCAGCTGATTCTGTTCCACAGGAGTCAGCGTAGACCAGTGCTCCGATTGTGACAATTTTGCTATTGCTGATGATCTCATCTGCCTAAATAGCATTTGATTGCGCAGTAACTGCATATGCTGATATGTCATCAACAGCAATGGATCTTCTAATCCTGCCTTCGGTATAGTACCAGGAGCCAATCCAGCCGGTACGGTATTAGGAACAGGTGGAATTGTCACCTGATCTGCTAACTACGAACGAAAATATTCGATCTTATTGATATGAATATATCAAACAATTAAAAAATTAAGAATACAATAATAAGAGGTAACTTTTTTCATAAGCTTCATTTCCGAAATTTTTGAATTTTCCTCTATATAGCAAAACTTGAATATTATAGACAATTACAAATAAAAGTCACCCTTCATTTGCTTTCTTCTCTAATATTCGAACTTTAAGCTTCATATTTTTCTCAACATTAAAACTGCTTACACTGATGTGATCTATGTATAAGTTCTACATTAGTAAAATAAATTTCGAAATATAATGAAAAATATATATATAATTCGTACGATAAATCATAACTATACCTTTAATGGAGGTATTGGCAGGCCAGGCGTGAACGGTACTCTTCCGTACATTTTGATCAAATCACCGAGCGTAGCATACCTTTCATCACAAGTTCTTCTTACAAATAATCCCGTATTGAAATATCCAGCTTTGCACCATTCGGCCATTTCAGTAGCTAAAAATGGTCCTTGGACTTCGCCTTGTGGATCACGGTAAAACCATTTTTCCTGATTACCCGTGGAGGAAACCGCAGAAGGTTGGTTACCAATTACAGGTGGGACACTGGCAGGGGCTGTCTTTTCCTTGTGATTTTCTTCATCCGCCATTAATTTGGCTACCAAAGCATCAGCTTCCTGTCTCATTCTATCTAGATCATCTTCCGTTCTTTGCCTGACGTTAGCTGTTCCCGAATTATGTGTGAGTTTCGGATGCTCCAGAGGAACTTGTCGATTGGTCACAGTTATTTGCGATTCTGTTTTGACCTCCGTCTGAACGGTCTCTTTATCGTGAATTCCGGTCAGAGGTTCATTAGGTTTTTCACCTAAAGTCTCGACTTTATCCATATTTGCAGATCCGATAGTCTTCTTTTGCAAGAGATCCGAGGACGCTAAAGTCTTTGTCGGAATACTCTCGGTTAGTGGTACAGTAATCGGCTTAACGGAAGGTGAATTGCATCTCCTTTCTTTTCCTATAGAATCATCCTTATCTTCGAGTGAATCTAACGGTTTTGATCGTTCTTTACTTAATGTGCTGGCTATGGTATTACTCGTGTGGCGATTCAAGGATTGAACAGAACCTGTGCCGAAAGCTAATGGCTTGCTATTAGATCTCACTATGTTTGAAGCACTTCCTTCCGATACGCGTCGAGTTCTGCCTTGCTGGGAAGCACTCGCCGCACCATCTTCGTCATCATCTGAATACATCCCACCGTGGAATGCGCCCGAAGCGTCGAAACTACCACTCTCACTTGGATTCTCCGTTGCCCTGAAATATAAAGTTTAAAATACAAAATAAAGGAAATATACAAAAATATACAGAAATAAATTTGATAGATACGATATTATTTAACATTACCACTCAGGAAGATTATCATGATTATCATGATGATTCGATTCCCAAGTGCGAGCGGTACGAGGTGGTGGATGATGACTCGAATCATGGGAAGATCTGTGATTTCCCCGATGCTCCCATCTTCCTGGTCCACTTCTACCCTCTTCACCATCACCTTCGTTTCGATCCAATCTATCCCGATCCATACTGCCACCCTCGCGCCAACTACTTCTCCCTAACATAAATATCTCGTTTTATCACATAAATAATTTCTAAAAAATGAACAACATATTTACCCCACTTGCGCCAACTGTCATCATCTTCTCCGCTTCCACGATGACGTCTCCAATTACTCTCCATAAGCGAACTACCACTAGTCCCACGACTTAGCTCTTTTCTAGGACTAGTCGATCCATTCCATTCTCCTGGATCTGAAGCGCCGTTTCTTTCTGACCAGCCGCGTTCGCTTTGAGATCTATCGAATGGTCTGTTTCTTCCCTATAAATAAAATTAATGAGATTTCCTCCTTTATGCTGGCTAATGTATCGGTTTATTTAATTACAATGATTAGCGGTCATTCTCTTTTAGTTTTACAAAATTTAATAACACAAAGAAAAAGAAAAGAAACAAAAATCGATTATGTATAAACTATTTCTTTATACAGAAAGAAAGATTATATTTAAAAAGATTATACTTAAAATATTAAAAAATGAACTCGCATTCTAACAAAAATAAAAAAAGATGATTTATACCTGGAATGATTGACCCTCGATTCGTATCCCATCGCCGGAGTCATCAAACCCGACTCCACGTGAATAATGAGACGAATACAAGCCTCCTCTTCCAGTTCTACCACGTCCACGATCTACACTGCTACCTCTTCCACGACCACCGATATTAGTTATCCCTCCGTTCCACATACGCTGC